TAGAACCCCCTTGGAAGAGGGTGGACGAAATCTTTAGGGGAAACCCTAATAATTTCGTCCATAGGGGCTTGGATAAGGCCCTTGGGTTTGCTTAGGCCCTAAGCAAAGGATAACTAGGGTTTCCCTTAAACCCTAGATCCCTCAGCTATATAAGGAGCCTCCTGGTTCATGTTTTTGGTGACTCTTTCTTTTGAAGAAACCCTAAGGCCGAGATTTTGCATACTCCCTCTCCCCTCTCTTCTTCTACTTTCCTTCTTGCTAGTTTGGGTGTGATTCCATTAGAGGCATTACACTTGTGGTGCTAAAGCTTCCAAGAAGATCAAGATCAAGATCAAGGGAATATCAATTGCTTGCTATAGCAATTGAAAGGTATGTAAACCCTAAACCCTAGTTTGTTAATTTCGAAATTAGCCTCTCTCCTCTAGGGTTCTTGTTTTGCAATTCAAAGTTGTATGTTCAATAGTTAAAACATAGATCCAAAGTAGGTTGCATGTGAACTTAGGAATTGTTTTCTAGTTTATTTATTGTACCTAAAACCCATCAGAAAGGTGGCAGTCCCTCCGACCTGTGATGGAGGGGTAGGCCCAGTGTGAAACCCACTTTCTTTAAACCCATCAGCCAATGAATGAGCATGTGCCTGATGTACCCCTAAGAAATTTCTTCCCAATCTAGAAGAAAAAACTGCTCTCCTTTTTAGAGGTCTGATGTACCCCTAAGAAGGGGTAGAAAATGGAAGGAACCGTTGAAGGATGCCTATGAAGTTGGCATATTCTGGTTTACCCGTAAAAGGGGTAGACCAATACTGAAAGAGGAATGGGATCGATCTTGGGGTTTCATCCATTGAACATTTGAATGTGATGGTGATTTCAATTTTCAATCTTAGTTATTCTATGGGTGAAACCCTAAGATTGAAATCTCATTCCCCTTTCATTATTGGTCTACCCCTTTTACGGGTAAACCAGAATATGTCAACTTCATAGGCATCCTTCAATGGTTCCTTTCTTTTTCTACCCCTTCTTAGGGGTACATCGGACCTATAAAATGAAGAGCAGATTCTTCTTCTAGCTTGGAAAGCAATTTCTAAGGGAAACAATGGGCACATGCTCATTCTTTGGCAAATGGGTTTAAAGAAAGTGAGTTCCACACTGGGCGTTCCCCTCTAGCACAGGTCAGAGGGACTGCCACCTTTCCCCATCGGTCCTTTGCATTCTGCCATCGTTAATGTATTTTTCTTTGATAAAAGAGACGGTACTTTCGGGATTTGACAAGGATCGTATACAAAATCAGTTATTTATGAAGAAAAACAGGTGAACTCAAAGACATTCGGTCAAGAATTATGTAGAGATATTCGAGAAAACATGAGAAATCAAAGGGTAATTGTCAATAAAATCCAAAGTTTCAAGTTTAATAAACAAAAATAATTTTAATTTTTGATAAAATTAAAATTAAATAAAAAAGTCCACGTGGACGGTATGCTACATAGACACCAAGTGGATGTATTTAAGGGTAACCGGTTGAAAAGGCTATACCCTGTTGGATTGTCATAATTTGAAACAAAAGTACGTGTGTAAGGGATAGAATGTATAATTAAAAACTTTAGTGAAATAAAATAAAAAAAAATGACAATATTACCCCTCTTAGATGATTTTAGGGTTTTCGGTTGTGCCGCTGGAGTCCACCCTATGTGGCTAGAAATGATGAAGACTGCAAGATTTCGTGATCCATAGATCACCAACCAATAATAAAAACAGTAGAAGACAATGAAAATGAAAAAGCCTCGAGAGAAAAACAACATAGCAGATCTTAGGTGATATAGGTGATGATGGATGTGGGAATCTAGTGCCTATTAGGGATTTATGGAGTCAAATGGAAGCAAGTGCAAATATGGATAGTATTGAAGGCGATCAATATCATTTACCAACAATAGAAATCCTTTATGCTTCCATTATCAAAACCATAGCACTGCTTTTTCACCTAATGGAAAACTTGTTCAAACAGATCCACCATTTGGGAGAGAAGGAAATGGTGAATGTGTTTCTTGGGATGAATGATACAAGGGAGAGCCTTAATTTATACTAGAGCCTACCTCACTAAACAAGGAAAATACGTAACAAGAAAAAGATACGCATTAACTTTACAGCTAATTTACAGCCAATATACAATAAGAATTTAATGAAAAAATAAATTTCACGGTTGACTGAGGCAAGCGGTGGACGCGTGTTCCAAGCTGATCCAAAAGGGCAGATGGGTAATTTTACCAACAAAAAGGGCATAACTGATGAAAAGTGGGCTAACCTTATTTTAGAAGACAGATCCTCAGATTCTGAATCTGCTTGATGCTCTTCGCCTCGACCACTAAAGACATCAGACCATAACGAAAGAATATCAATCTCCGCCAGTGCACGCAAACTCAAAGCTGACTCAGAACGTACCTACCAATCATGTCAGATTAAAATTTTTAAGTATTTGACTAGTGAATAAACATAGAATGTGAAATTGCGAGTTTTTTGCCAAAACAAATAAGTTGTCACTAGTGCTTGGATCAAGAAATACCAAAGTTGAAAAGCAAAACAAAGACAGAATTGAAAAGGATGCATTAAGATATTAATTATTGTGCCAAAGACAACTTAGATTAGCATTTTGCATCTGCTAAAAGGCATATTGTGAATTACATATTGCTATTATTGGCATAAAATGTAGGTAAGTTGCTATTATGGGTAATAAATCATAAGTATATTGCTATTACAGATAATTAATAAAGTACATTGCCTATATTGGTAAAAGGGGTATAATATGTTGCTATTTGTATTTCCTTCAATTTACCCTTTGCTAAATAACATCACTGTAATTTCCTTCCAGTGTCACTTTCATCAATATCATTCCCTTCCAAAACAAGCATAAGGCCCAAAGCATCTCGTATTCAACTTAAAAAAAAAAAAAAAAAAAAAAAAAGATAACGAAAACATCATAATATCTTACAAGAGGTGAAGAGTTAGACAATGCTACTACTGCTGTGTCATCAAGAACCTCCTTGAATTCAACATGAACCTGAAAATTCCTAATATTATTTCAACATATTATGGACTTAAGTAAATTCCTAATCCATCCTTAATATTACTCAAATAATGATTACAAACTCATAGATTTCCTTAAACTGTATCTAGAGATGTTATGAGTTTTACAACACACTTATGGACATAATTTGTTCAATTAACCACTTGAACTTCATAAAAATGATCTAACTAATTCCTTTTCATCATTTTAAAAAATTTCAAATGCATTTCATGTTGTCTTCTAACTATAATGTTCAATTCCTAAACCACAATCTCCATTAAAGCCGTATGAAGCTTAATTTCACTAAATTATCTATAGATCAAACTCTCTATTGAATATTGATCATAACAATTTAATATTACATTATTTATTTAGCTAAATTAAAAAAGATAGTGTTTATATGCTCATAGAAGCTCAAACCCCCCAAATTAGCCAAGTAAATGATGAGACGTACGCCAAGAGATTAATGTACTAATGTTAACATTGACCTTAAAATTACCATCTATTATCAAACTAACATCATAACTCAAACCTCATCCAAAGTATAAACTCTAACTTGAAAGATGAAGAACATAAGTAGGATTTTATCTCCTTAACGCCTTTAGTAAGTGATTTGAACTAATAATATTCAGTTTCACCTTCGATCACACTCCAATCTTGCTCCAAGGCTGAAAATTGCCGATTCCCCTCTCTCAAGCTTATTTGGGTGGAAATGAGGTGTGAAAAAAGTGAACTATTATGTCCATCAAACACATTACCACTCGACTTTCTAGTTGTTTCTACTTTGACCACCACTTAAACAAGAAAACAACTAGACATTTGAATGCTTACTTCCCATCATAAACTTATATCATAAATGGTCCAAATCTATTTAGATTGGTCAACCATTAAGTCAACACTAACTCTTCTATTTTATTCACTTTTAACTTAACTTTCACTAAATATTTTTAATAACATTTTCTTATACAAAATTTAATTTATTATCATTACTATTTCTATTAAAACTATTTTTATTAATTTTATCATTTATTTATTCTACTTATTATTTTATTTAATAAATTCAAAACTTACTCTAAAAATAGGATGTTACAAGAATACACACACCTACCTAGTCCCATTAACTATAAATATCTAAAGCAATCGTAAAGCGCTCTTACAAACTCTAAAAGATACCAAAACAGATTAGAATACAACACTAGTAGCGATTGTAGCAAGCAAAAGTGTTTGTTTAGATGGAAATATGATGAACTTCAAGTTTCTATTTAGTGATTTAAGGTCGAGTTATTATAAGTGAGAAGCAAGAGTCGATGCATATGAAGAAAATGACCGAGGATGTGTCAAATTACATCTTTTGCCTTTTGGAATCAAAGGAACAACTTCAACACATTTTTTAAAACATAAAAAACACAACTGCCCACCCATTTTCCTGATTTATTTGTGATTAAAATAACCAACTTTGTCTCCTTTTTTCTTTTATGTTTCTTTTGGATTTTTGAATATTTTCAATTGTTATTCGAGTTGAGTCCATTTCGGATCTTCCCAGGATTATAGCCTTGGGTTTGCACCCAATACGTTTGTTGTTTTGCCTTTGAGAGTGACAGTTTTGATGCAAAAAGAACTCAATTTGTGTTGATAAGATTACTATTTTATATTAGATGCCATGCATATACTTAAAATGGTCGATAATAAGCAAGTCACACAATGTGTGTATGAGAGAGAGAGAGAGAGAGACATGGTTCAAGCTAAGTATATATTGATTTGGTTATTGTAATTCATAAGCTTGTATAAAATATTATAATATATATATATATATATATATATATATATATATATATATATATATATATATATATATATATATATATATATTGATTTAGAGGACCAAAGGAAACATGATTCAAAAGTAAAAGTAGAGTAGAAGCCTTACAGATTACAAGGTTAAACAAGCCTACACCTACAAGATTTAACTTCTTAAGTAAAATGTTCAAAAGTCAAAGAGATACGACTATAAATATTCCACAAACAAACAACACGAAACGTTTTCAAGTGACTGTCAAATGACCTTTTTGCCCCAACGATTTCCAAGATGATTCAAGCCTCAACAAATGCAACTTCTCCACAAATGGTTCCAAGATTTCCGCCTCTTCTTCTGGTGCAAAAGCCATGCAAATGCTTAGTTCTTGAACTGCCTCTCCATATTCCCTAAACATTCATTAAAAGTTAAAAACAACTTGAGAAACCAAATAGAGTGTGGAAAAGAGAACACTATATATATAAGATGATGTCATCATACCTACTGAAATACAACATCATGCCATGATCTCTCCTCAAAGCCCAATTATGTGGCTGCAATATAAGCAATCTCTCGGATGCCATGATAGCCAGCCTAGGCCAAAAGAAAAAGATTCCACATGCCAACACAAGAAAATGACTCATTTAGAGCACAAATTCAATTTATGTGTTATGATAAACACTCTCTCTCTCTCTCTCATAAACAAGTACCCAAGAAAGAAAACATAAGGTCCACTTGTTATGCGCATCAGGACCAGACAAGACAAGACATATCAGGTTGTACTGTGTTTGGTATACACTGGACTTGGACTCAGACTGATGTCAATAGGACAAAAGTTGCATTTTGTCCCACCTACAAAGGTGGTATATGGATTCACTATCGATCTCTTTTCTATGCAAAAGAGATGAGAGTAATGAGAGTATTCCTAGAAATTTTGTTAGGCCTATACAATGTAACAAACACAACTTAAAAATGTGCACATTTAATTACTGAATATTATATTGGTAACGTTGTAATTTCGAGAATAAAATTTATAATGTAAATATTTAATGTTTGAGGAAAAGTTGTAAGTTTATCGGAAAGTGGAAGATGTCATACAAATTAGAATAGGTATTAGGGTTAAATGCAAAAGAATATATAATAATATATAAAAATAGACTTAGAAACTGAAAGAGGAGAAACAGTTTTCTATTTTCTAAGCAATGAAAACAGTCAAAATATGGTAGATATGCATGTCATAATCAATGAAATCAAAACCAAATTATTTCCACCGTTTTTTAAGTCTATTTTCTACAAAAATGCCAATATAAATTCTTTACACGAGCAGCTTTACAAACATTAAATGTGTCATTCATGGTCTAATTTAGCACACTTAAATCAGTTTAAAGCTTGGACACTTGTCATGTTTTTGATGGATTGGATTCCTTATTAAAACTCGTATTTTCTTTTATACACTTTCATTCATTTCTATTAAAAGATTTTAATTTTAATTTTTTTTAAGAATACATTTCACTTTGGAAAAGGTACCTAGTAATGCCATAGTACTTTCAAATTTTATTTTTTTTCTTTTTAAGACATTATACTTGGAAAATACCTACCCATTTATAACAGTGAAAATCCCTTTGTATTAGGAAAATATTGCTATAATTGGGTAAATTTCCAAAGTACAATGCCTAAATAGAATGATCCAAAAGTATGTTGTTATTTATTGCAATTAACCCTTTTTGTATATTTGTCAAAAAAAAAGTGGGAGATTATTGGGTAATGATCACAATTTAACAAATTCTCCTCTCAATTCTCATGTCAATCTTGAAACCTGTAGGGAAAACAGAAACAAGTGCCTAAATAATTAGGAAAGTGGTGGTGTGATACTAAGGGCAAATTAGTAATTTCACATGTGTACCTAAGATCTTGAGGACGTAATAAGGGTTTGCTCGAACTATCAGTCTTTTCATCATCAACCGGCCTAAGTGGAGAAGTCAACATTAAACCACGATTCATCCTTGAAGCACGTTTCCAATGAAGCCTCTATAGGGAGAAAAACAAGAATCAAGAAAATAAAGAACTAAAAAAAACGACTAAATCAAAGAAATAGCAATGTACACAACATCGTATTTTCAATTCCTTCTATTCTACCATTTCAATTTCAATATTTTTCTTATTATGGCATCGTATTCGTATTCGTGTAACTATATTTGCATTCAAAGCTATAGAATAAAAAAAAGTTTTGTGAATTTCTTACAATTAAATTAGCGAGATAAATCCCAATAATATCCCGATTTGTAGCAATATCAAGGCCCAAAAGTGAATTGCTGTTTAAATCCGATGCCTTTGACCTTGGGTTCTCAACACATCGCCCATTAACAATCCCAAATAAAGTGTTCCCTGATTTGACCTTAAAAAGCTCCTGTTAAAAAAGATCAAAAGTGAGTAAAATATCACTAAAAATCCAACATTTAAGTTAAAACTAGAACAAAACCCATGCTAAGAAAAGGGGTAGGGGTTTTTTTTTTATGTATTATCAGCAGTTTAGTAAAAGCCAACGGGGACAAGTTTTGTAATTAGTTTTGTACACAGGGGTCAAACCTGCCAAAATACCAAAATTTTACACATTTGGACTTTTTTGAAAAAAAAAAAAAAGTTTACAGGGACCTTTTCTATAAATTAAAAAAATTGCAGGGACTAAATCTGCCAAAGTGTAAAGCCTTTGTTGCAGGGACTAAATCTGTCAAAATATATAACCTTTGTTGCAGGGACTAAATCTGCTAAAAGGTTTTGCAGGGACTAAATCTGCCAAAATATAAAACCTTTGTTGCAGGGACTAAATCTGCCAAAATGTAAAACCATTGTTGCAGGGACTAAATCAGCCAAAATTTAAAACCATTGTTTGCAGGGACTAAATCTGTCAAATAGGAAAACCTTTGTTGCAGGGACTAAATCTGCCAAAATGTAAAACATTTGGGGCAAAGGTCCAAAAGGGACTAAATCTGCCAAAATGTAAAACCTTTGTTGCAGGGACTAAATCTGCCAAAATGTAAACCCTTTGTGGCTAAAGTCCAAAAAGTGAAATAATTTGTATATATAAAGTGGGTAAATCAGTAAATACTACCAAGTGTGAAGTTATCTTACCTCTGGATTTCCTGTTTGGGGCCAGATTAAAAAGTCTTCCCCAACTCGGGATCCAACAATAGTCAAATTTAGTCTTCGACAAACCTCAATGTAGATTACACTAAGCAAAATTGCTGCAAAAAAAAAAAGAAAAAAAAATTAAATAAACAAATCAATGGAAGTAGAAATGTAGAAGTACTTTCATTTCTTTCTTTCATTAAAATGAAAAGTTTATGTGAAAAAGAAAGAGCATGAGGATTCACGGATTTACCACTACCACATTTGGAGCTTAACACATGATGCAAATAGGAACATTTGGAATCGACAACAAGTGATCTTTTAAAGCCTCGTGACTCAAAAAGAACTTTGTTCACAGCTTCCAAAACTTCAATCAAATGGCAACCTATGTCTCTTGAAATTAGTTCCACCTCGACCTCTTTAGCAATGGCATCCAACTCTAATAACCACTCTTCGATTCTCTTTCCTTCCATCACCATGGAGTCTATTTTATTTGGATCTTGAACATCAAGTGACACTTTTCCACCTTTTCGTTCATTTTCAAATGAGTGTGCATCCATTTCGCGATTGAATGAAATAAACGCCTCGTCTTCAGCAGAAATATGAAGCAATGACTGAATTATTTCAAGAAAACGATTATATTAAAGCAATCTTTGGAATGCAAAAGAAGAAATTACAAGACAAAACAGTACTACAATACAATACAGGACAAAACAATACTACACTGCAATACAATATATGACAAAACAGTACTACAATACAATACAGGACATGACAAAACAGTACTACAATACAATACAAGACAAAACAGTACTACAATACAATACAGGACATGACAAAACAATACAACAATACATTACAGGACATAAAAAAACAGTACTACAATACAATACAGGACATGACAAAACAAAAACAATACTACAATACAATACAATACAATACAATACAATACAATACAGGACATGAGAAAACAAAAATAGTAATACTATACAATACATGACATGACAACACACGACTACAATACAATACAAGACATGACAAAACAGTACCACAATACAATACAGGACAAGACAAAACAGTACTACAATACAAGACATGACATAACAAAAGAGAAAAGTTTGTAAACGGATGTGAAGGGGAAAAAATTGTACTTTTTGTAACCCAAAAATGTGAAACAAGGAAAATCAGGACTCCCTATTGATCTCTATTTAGTGCAAAAGACATAAATGTCATCCTCATCATTATCATTGAATATAGCAGTAGAAAGCTATATTCATGGCTTTTGCAAAGGACAAAAAGGGCATTAACGTCATTTGCACGGACAACCTCATAGAGTACTATGACCCATAAAAAGATATGTCAATAATTAGAACTTAAAGACTGGAAACTAAATTCGGTGAGAAAAGTAGGGAATTTTAGGAATAATTAGTTAAAGGGAGTGTTCATGGACCAGAAAAGATAAAAAGAGCATGAATCATTGAGTCTAATTTACAATATCCATCAAATATGAACAAAAACAAGTAATCATTAAACAAAAACAGCCGAAACAAGATCCAATTTTTCACTCCACTTCCACTCTTCCTCCTTATAAGTCTACCAATTGCCCGAAAATTGTGCAAAAAATCAAGAAATTATAAATTCATGACACCGCGTCACACCGATTTTTATCATATTTTAATGATGATGATGATGATGATGATGATGATGTATTCAACTACTTGCACTATGGAAAGAAAAGTATGGGACCACAGGAAAAGATAATATCTTTTTCATGAAAAAATGTCTTTTTCTCCTAACCAAGGAAAAGTTAAAAAATTTTCAAGAAAAAAATGTCTTTTTCTCCTAGCCAATAATTTTAAGATAAAGTAAAGTTTTTTAAAGAAAAGATCACCTTAGCAAGGGATATGTCTTTGTCTTTAGACTGGAAAGATATCTCCTGTGCAAAATTTGCTCTTGCAGCGATCAGAACCTGAATTTTTTCATGATAATAAAGTCAGAATTTTTACCATAAAAATAAGAATTGGATGAATTTAACGCAATAAATCGATACAGGTTATTAATATATGTGGAAAAAACCATGAATTCAGACCTCCTGGTAGAACTTGGGAGAAGAAAAACCACCGGTCTTCACCGGAGCAGCTGCAGCCATTGGTGATAAGCTCGACCACCTCCTCTTTTGCTTGATCACGGTGGTCGGAGTAGTGAAATCGGCCAAGTTCCTGGATTTCTTATCAGCATTCCGATCAATTCCGGACCTGATTAACGCAATTGAGAACGAACCCATGTCAGAACGCACAATTTATACACGATTGAGCTAAAAGTACAAAAACCCTCATCCAATTTTGCAAAATTAACCAAATCGATCAAAAAGAAGGAAACCCATTTGATAGAATCTTGAATTAAGAACAATACCTTAGAAGAGGCCGAAAAATTGAAGAACTAGTCATCTGTTGATGACGAAAAACCCCAGATAGTGATGCAAGCAACATCATTTCTTTAGGTAGAAAGAGATTAAACTTTACAGGAAACAAGTGGTGAAATACAGAGAAAAGATGATAAAAAAGATTATCTATTCAATTGTATTCTTCAGCGGTAAAATGGGTACAAATGGGGTTACAAGAAGGGTTTGATGAAGACGATGATGATGCGGTCATCAAATTAGAAATAATCCCAAAAGACATCGAAGAGCGAGCTGAAGAAGATGAAAAGAAAGAAAAGTGGTGGCAGAAATCGTCGAGAAAGATGACACTGTTTCTTGGAGGATTAGAAGAACTCCAAAGGTCCATTGATGGTACTTTAGTGCTTCTTTCTCTTTCTCACTCTATATACAGATACATATAGAGAGAGAAAGGAAGAAACAGGTGGGGTTTTGTCCGGCGCAAGGATGATGAACAGGAGTTGTTGTCTGTGGGTTTTATTGTGATAAAGTGATGATTGCAATTTATAGGGTGGTGGTTGAGGGTGTCGTAAGAGAGTGCAAAAGTAGGCTAAAGGTGGAGTCTTGATCAGTCTGGATAGATGGATTTAAGTTAAACTCGGTTAATTTCGAAATTAGGTAATAAACTATTAATTTAGGTGAATATTGTACGATGTCAAATTTTCTTTTTTTTCTTTTTTTAAATTGTGTATTGTATTGACTTTAGTTGTTGGTAAAAAAAAAATATATTGTAATCACCTTATCAAGTATATTTGGTATTAGGGTAAGTTTTTAACCGAAAACCAAATCGGAAGCGGTTGGAACCGATTAATGGTATCCGGTCAGGTTTCAGTTTTCGGTTCAAATATCTAACACCTTCTTAGATAACACTTTCTAGTAAAACCGAATTGAAACCAATTGGAATATGTTACTGGTATTAGGTCCGATTCTTGATTTCTGGTCACCCCTTAATCGGTCTTCGATTATTTCGATTATGGTGCGATTCAGTCCAGAACCAGTTACATGCCTACTTGGTATCAACTTATTTGGAAACCAACAAGTTTGTTTAGTACAGATTGATAATGATATATCAACTTCTAACTAATTTTCAATTCTTTATATTATTGTTGACGGTGAGTGAAAAATCGTCGGATCAATCTCAGCCCTTAAAACTCCCCCATCTTTCAATATGGATCGTAATAACTCAACATTCACAGTTAATCGAAGGTTCCAACCGTTTTCAGCTCCCCCCTAACGTTCCTCGCAGTCAATTGTTTTCTCCTCCCACGTTCAATCGGTTTTCAGGTTCCTTCGAAGACATGGTAGTTCTCCTTCAACCAACCACGATATAGAGATAGTTTCCTTCTTAGTCGGTAACTGCCCTAACCACGACATAGAAATTGGGCCTATATAATGATTGGAATATGTTTAATGTTTCTATCTTTCACTTAGTATATTGAATTGTTTCTTTTGATGTCAACATTTATGGATTCAAGTTCGGCTAAAAATAGTTCACCTAAGGTAAATTGATCTACTTCTGCTTAATTTTTCAATGTTTCAATGAGTTTCTTCAATTGATTCCTTTTGTTCCATCCTCTGAACAATTATCGATATACAGTTTCGTCTGAATAGTCTTCAACTAAGGTAAAATCTTTACAATTGGTTTAATTTTAAGTTTTACATTCGTAGGTTTTTACCATCTGACTTCGATTTCTATTTCATTGCATCTTCAATTTCATTGTATAATCGACTTTAATGTTCATTTATGTTTGTGTAATTGATTTCATCTGTACTTAATTGTGTACTATATAATATTCAAGAAGAAATTTGAAGATGTTGAGGTAAAAGTCAATCTACACTCAGATGTATCAAAATCGTCATGTCATTCTGCTTCTGAGAGTGTTGAAATAATCGACTTCTGTAAAAATCCCAATTGGAGAGGGAGATTTGTGAAGAGGTAAAAAATCTATGTTTTTGTTTTTCAGATAAATAAGCATGTAAAGTTTCGTTTATTCTTTCAAGATTCTTATTAGACAGTGATTGGTGTGCTAAATATGTCATTGATTGTAATTATCAGTTAGTGTTATTAGACAGCTAGTTTACCATAATTAGATTGAATATGACTCTATATATAGAGCTCCTCTATGTATAGTAAGATATCAATACACAATATACAGAATTCTTATACCAAGTTTGTAATGGTATCAGAGCCAATCATCCAACCCTAAGGCAACCGCCACCTCTCTTCTTCTTCTTTTTTTCCCTGTTCCTGCAAATCGGTCAATAATGGCCATTGTAGCCTTCACCACAGTGGAGAAAACTAATCACAACTCTCACAAGTTTGGATTTACCTTAAACCCTACCAATTATGGATATTAGAAAACAATGATCCAACCCTTCCTCATCACAAATGGTCTTTTTTGGCTATATCGATGGATCTATGTCTTGTCCATCTAAAACCATTGCAGCTACACCAGCCCTCAACCAAATCCTATTATTCTACATGGATATCCAATGATGCTCATGATCGCATGTTGTTGCTTTCAACGATCTCTGAAGCCTCATTCGAGCATGTACAGGGTCATACTTCTCGTGAATTATGGCTTTCCTTGGAACGTGCTTATGCACCACACACATCCTCACGAGAATACACCCTCAAAACTCAATTGCTCAAGATTGAGATGAAACCTGAAGAAACATCTGCTACCTATCTTGCTCGAGCACAATAGTATTCACATGTTTTAGCAAACATTGGTGAGCCTATGAAAGAAAAAGACATTGTTATGTTGGTTATTTCAGGTGTTAGAGAAGAATACAATTCCCTAAAGTCCACCTTGATTTCAAGATAGCATCCTGTTGCCTTTTTGGAACTTTTTGGATTACTTGCTGATCACGAGTACATGATAAAAAAGATCGATTCCACTGTTCCGGCTGCTCAAGTTTTCACCACTACAAGCAATTATGATTCTGCTTCTTCCTTGCTTACTCCCGAAACGATACAATCTCTTCAAAAATTGATGACACAATTGGGGTTTAATGTACAACCTGCACAACAACCAAATCAACCTGCACAACAACCAAATCAGGTGTTTTATACTGCTCGTGCAACAGCCAACCATGACCGTGGCCCCTCTAGTCGATGTGGTCGCGGGTACTACAACAACAACTGGTCGTACAACACCAACAATCAAAACAACCGAAACTCAGGCTCCACTGCAGGCAACAATAATAGATTTGATTGGGCTTCTAATCAGAATACAGTCTATGGTTCTTGTAACAAGTTTGGCATTAGACACGTTCCATCACAGTGTCCCAATCGTGACCCAACAACAATTCGTCCACCAAGACAGGCTCCACAAGCAAACTTTACTGATTATCACTCACACGCATCATCATCATGGTTGTCGGACACAAGTGCAAACAGTCATGTGGCGCCTAATCTCAGCGGTTTTGACAGCTCTGAGCCTTATTATGGTGATGATACACTTCATGTTGGTAATGGAAAAGGTTTTCCTATTCTTCATATTGCTTCTACATCTTTTAACTCACCAAAAAAACCTTTTCAATAAACAAAATTCTACATGTCCCTCAAATCAAACAAAACCTTCTTTCCGTACAACGTTTTTGTCAAGACAACAATGTATTCTTTGAGTTTCACTCTACCTTTTTTTGTGTCAAGGATACGGTTACCAGGACAATCCTCCTCATGGGTCCCAGTAAAGATGGTCTCTACTCTTTCTCTCTACCAAAGATTCATCCTGTTTCCAATGTTGCCTTTTCCATTTTTCGAGCTTCTATAACAACTTGGAATTAAAGACTTGGACACCCCCACCCGCAGCTTTTACACTCGATGATTTTGAAAAACCATCTTCCTATTACAAACAATTCTGCCATTTCTTTTTGTAATTCGTGCCCTATGGGAAAATCCTCAAAAATGAAATAATCTTCTTTAAATCATAAAAGTTCACATGTCTTGGATTTAGTATTCTATGATGTTTGGGGACCCGCTCCTATTACTTCCTTTTATGGTCATCGTTATTTTTTACTTTGTGTTGATCATTATACTAGATATATGTGGCTATTTCCCATAAAACAAAAATCTAATGTCCTCAGCATATTTAAACAGTTTCATACAATGGCTGAAAAACAATTTCAAACTAAACTCAAATCGGTTCAAACAAACTGGGGAGGGGAATTTATAAACTTATCCTCCTTTTTCACAACTCTTGGAATCATACACCGTCTCTCTTGACCTCATACAAGCGAGCAAAATGGCTTTGTTAAGCGACGACACCGCCATATGGTGGAAACCGGTCTCACCCTCTTGGCTCAATCTGGTGTTCTAATGTATTTTTGGAACTTTGCCTTTGAGACTATTATGTATTTGATAAACCGCATGCCCTCTCCCACTTCATCAAATATCTCTCCTTTTGAACATCTTCTTAATCGCAAACCCAATTTGTCTTTCTTACGTGTCTTCGGGTGTCAATGTTTCCCTCACCTTCGTCCATATAATCCACACAAGATGGATTTCCACTCTCTATCTTGTATCTTTTTAGGGTATAGCTTATATCATCATGTGTATCAATGCCTAGATCCTACTACAGATCGCATTTATGTTGCCCGACACGTACGGTGTGACAACCATCACTTTTTGGTCAAGTCAAAGTCAAAGAAAGTCAACAAGTCAAACCATCCAACTCAATTAACCCTCGTATATTAGGGTTTACATTAAGTTTACTATTGTACGACACACCATCCTAACACAAAGTATCACTTAGAGTTTTCACGTGTTGAGAAAATCTAAACCCTAATCAGGGTAAGTGATGGAACTAGTCGATAAAACATTAATACATACCCTACGGGGGCGTATAACACTCATAACAAGGTTTAACAGGGCTTACGAACCTTGCATTTCGAGGCTAAACACTCACAAAAGTGACAAACAAAGTCTCTCTAAATCTCTCTCACTCTATCTCTATCTCTATCTCTCCCAAATATCTTCCAAATCTCTCTCAAAATCTCTTTCAAATTTCTAGAATCATTCGTGGCATCCCGACCCATAACTTAGTCAAAAACCACTCGAAACGGGAAGATTTCTCGAAAAACAGCCATATAGGGCCGAAACCACTATATGAAACGAAACTAGCTATAAGAACCGAAACCACAATATGAACCGAAACTAGCTATAAGAACCGAAACCACTATATGAACCGAAACTAGCTATAAGAACCGAACCCTAAGGACCGAACCTGCCAAGACCGAAACCCTAGAAACCGAACCCTAAGAACCGAAGTTGCTAAAGAGCCGAAGCCGAAGGTCCCTTTCGGGCCGAACCCTCCTTTCGCTTCTATCCAATTTTGGGTTCGCTTCCAACGACAATTTCAGCTTTGGGACCGAGAGTAGGGTTCGGGTCTTTATGTCTCGAACCGAAGGAGAAGTTCGGGTCCACCTGTTTCGGACCGAACCTTCGGCCAGTTTCGGATTCTTCACCTCCTTTTCCCGGTTTTCGACCACTTTCGCGTTTTAATCTCGTTT